AAGCAATCTAAAGCTGCTTAGACGCCTCAACACCTCATCCACAACAGAGGTGACCAATAGGCCAACAAGGGGAATCCCATCTCTCAAACCGAGAAAAGGACAAAGACACCTTCCTCTCAAACATCATCGAAGAGGGGAAAACTAGTGCTGGACCATAACCATATCAAGGTTCATCCTTGGCATCTACTTCAGTGGAGGAGCTGTGGAGTAACCAGGAACACCTGGGATACCAATCTCGGCTCCGCCATGACATCCAAACTCTCTCTTCATTCCACCATAACAGAGAAACCAAAAAGAGGGGGGAAGAAGGAAAGGCCCTGACCTAACTTTTAAAGGAAAATAGAGTGAAAAGCGATTATATTAAATTAAAGCGAGCCATTCTGCAGTTTCTGCAGTGGAACTAGTTCCAGCCGATTGACCTCTCCTTTGTCAGCATGAGAATAATTACTCTGGTGAGCGACTTCTCGATTGTCTCAACGTGTAATATGACACCAGAAGACTTTTTCAGAACAAGTTGTGGTTCAGTAACTGGAAATCTTTCATTGAGGCTGGCAAGATTCAACTTTGTGGTTCCACACTAAGGTCGGATGGAACAAGTTGTACTCCCAACCCTCATGCTGGCCTGAAAAACGAACATATCATCAGTATAATTCAATGGAGAGGATTTCTTAGAGGATTCTTTTCTATAGGACTTACCTGAAAATGCCCTGACGAAATAAAAGTGGCCTTCTATATATTAAAAGTCCACCCTGACTAACATCCCCACTCCATTGCTGCAAATTCCACCGTTTTGGACATATTTCTGTGTGCTCCAGGTCGCAATACGAGATCTGTGAGTGTTGGGTGGAAAGCTCATTCGAAAGCGTCGGCTTGCAGCGACCCTCCCAAATTAGATCACTGAAAACCTGAAAACACACTGCCCGCTGTAGTGTTTGTCCTGTCCTCATGGAGGAAAAACCATACAATGGCTATAAATAGTAGATAGGCTCTGAAACCTGGAGGACAGGACGATTGTTGGCAGTAGGGCATGGAGCTATATGGTAAGGCCGTGTCGCAGTCCACTCTGCTGCAGAAAGCACCAGACAACAAATCTAAAGCTGCTTCGACGCCATCAAAGCCTCATCCATGCCAGAGGTGGCCAACAGGCAAACAAAGGGAATCCCATCTCTCTAACCAGGAGGAGGACAAAGACAGGTAATGGAAACCGAACTCTCCCTTCATTCCACCCTAACAGTGAAAACAAAAAGAGGGTGGAAGAACGGAAGGCCCTGACATAACTTTTAAAGGAAAATAGAGTGAAAAACGAATATTGTGGACCATTCAGCAGTTTCTGCAGTGGAATTGGTTCCAGGCGATTGACCTCTCGTCTGTCAGCATGAGAATAATTACTCTGGTGAGCAACTTCTCGATTGTCTCAATGTGTAATACGACACCAGAAGACATTTTCGGAACAAGTTGTGGTCCAGTAACTGGAAATCCTTCATTGAGGCTGGCAAGAGTCAACTTTGTGGATCCACACTAAGCTCGCCTTCAACAAGTCGGACGTGCAACTGCTCATGCTGGCCTGGAATTCGAACATATCACAAGTGTAATTCAATGGAGAGGATGGATCTCTTAGAATAGGATTTTCTGGAGGACTTACCTGAAAATGCTCTGACGAAATAAGGGCGGCCTTCTATATACTAAAGGTTTGCCTTTACATACCAGCCCCGCTGCATTGCTAGAAATGCCAACAGCTTTGACATATTTTTGTGTGCTGCAGGTCGCAATAGGAAATTTGCGTGTGTAGGTGGGAAGCTCACTTGAAAGAATTGGCTTGCAGCGACCCTCCCAAATTAGATCACTGAAAATACACTGCCCGCTATAGTTTTTGCCCTGTCCTCATGGAGGAAAAAACATACAATGGCTAAAAATAGTATACAGGCTCTCTAACCTGGAGGCCAGGACGATTGTTGGCAGTAGGATGGGGACCAGTATAGTAAGGCCGTCTCGCGTCCGACTCCATTGCAAAAAGCACCAGAGAACAAATCTAAAGGCGCTTCAACGGCATCAAAGCCTCATCCATGCCAGAGGTGGCCAACAGGCAAACAAGGGGAATCCCATCTCTTGAACCAAGAGGAGGACAAAAACTTCCTCTCAAACATCACTGAAGAGGGGAAAACTAGTGTTGCACCCTCTCAAAGTTCATCCTTGGCGGCATCTATTTCAGTGGAGGAGCTGCGAGTAACCAGGGACACCTGGGATACCAATCTCGGCTCCTCCATGGAATTCAAACTCTCTCTTCGTTCCACCCTAACAGAGAAACCAAAAAGAGGGTGGAAGAAGGGAAGGTCCCGACATAACTTTTCAAGGAAAATAGAGTGAAAAGCGAATATTGTGGACCATTCAGCAGTTTCTGCAGTGGAATTCGCTCCAGGTGATTGACCGCCCGTTTGTCAGCTTGAGCCTACTTGCCCTGGTGAGCGACTTCTCAATTGTCTCAACGTCTAATACGACACCAAAAGACATTTCCGGAACAAGTTGTGGTCTATCAACTGTAAATCCTTCATTGAGGCTGGCAAGAGTCATCATTGTGGTTCCACACTAAGGTCGCTTTCAACAAGTTGGACTCACAACTGTCTTGGCCTTCTTTGTACACTGTTCCTAAGCTGTTGCCAGTTCTTTACAGTATCTCAAGCGCTCTGTCTACCTTTTTTATTATAGATGGAAGCGGCTGAACTTGGGGGTCAGAAAGAACATGCGAAGAGAAAAAAAAGGCTGGTACAAGGGAAAAAAAATTATAAGTGAGTAGCGTTGTTCCGTAATCAGTGGCACTTTTACTTTTAAGCACTGCTCTTATGTGAGCTTCGCATTTTCCTGTACCAGCCTGATGCTCATGATTTTTGCCAAGGCGAAAACAATTTATGCACCTACGGGCATCCAAGTAAACCTTGGCATTAACAAGTATTTTACTGCGGACTTTTGCAGGAAATTCCAACGCCCAGCAAACGATGGTGGAGGCTTGCCTCGGGCCGCCTCCATATTTAATTGTATATAGCGGCCTGACTTCGCTGGCGCTTTGTTCCAGGAGATTATTATTTCCTAGGAGCTCGTCTCTGAGATCTGTTTTGCTGGTGTCCTTTGGGACCCGAAGAATTAACAATCTGGGGTTCTATGAGGACATGGTTTCAGACCTGCCTCCAAAAGCAAAGTCATAACCTTGCCCTTGTTACCTTCCCCTTCAAGCTTAATTGCCACTCGTCCTTTTGCTGTGGCGCTTACATGAATTTTGATCTTCGTTATTCTAGGATTGAGGAGGTGCTTAATCTTCCTCATTAATTCATTCGGCTCCATGCCTTCAGGTGGGTCTACTATTACCATCTTGCTGTTTTCTAGCATGGCCTTGTCAATGTCTGTGATATTGTGACCTTTTTGTTGTTTTCCATTCTTTTTAATATTGTTGATAGTATCAACGGTCTTACGTCTCATCATGGGCTCCGACTATGCACTTTTCCATTCATATTTCTCCTAGATACCACCACAGTACTCCAGGTTTCCATTGCTGATGAATTAGTATCATTATTATTGGGGTGACGACATTACTTACATTATCATTCATTTGTTTTGACTGAACTTGCGCAGTTTATTCTTTTTTTTATTCCGCAGAGACGGCTTTTAAGAGTAGTCCTTACTTCCAATCATCGCAACATCCCTGCAAAGCTCATCCATAATCCTATTGAAGGATGGAGCCAAGGCTGCAGCAATCTTGGTCGGACCATTTTCAACTGAAGAAAGCTGCGCATTGTGGATTGTGCCCAACAGCTTGTCAATTCTCCCACCCACAAACTGTGTCGCAGGCTTGGGACATTTATTCTTTGGATCAATCATGTACTGAGAAATTTCAGTACATAATTCCTGTGCTAATGTGCTGTTTTTTAATGCCTAGTTTCGGAGGAGTCCATCACATCCCTACATTCAGAAGGCACGTCGTTGCTCCTTGAGTCATGCACATTAATGTCCGAAGTAGAAGCATACATATAATAAATAGTAAATATAATATTTAGTAGAAGAAAGGAGAAGGGGAGGGGGGAAAGATGCCAAATAGGGTCGACAGTTAAAATGAAGAAGGGCCAAGAGTTAAAGGATTAAGAAGAGGAGGGAAGAAAGATGCCAAAGAAGTTGACAGCTGAAATGAAGAATGGTAAAGAATACTAGTGAACGGAAGGGGGGAGGGAAAAAGCAGCATAGGGATGAGTTGAAATGAAGATGCACAAAGAAACCAAGAAATGGTAAGGGGAGGGGCAAGTGATGTAAAGAAAAAAGACACAAAAGATGCCCACCAAAGATAAGTTTGACGGGAAGAAAATGAAGAAAGTGAAATAGTGGTGAATGGAAGGGGCAAATGATGTCAAGAAAGGATGGAAGGGGAGGGAAGAAAGATACCAAAGAGGTTGACAGGTGAAATGAAGAATGATAAAGAATACGAGAAAGTTGAAGGGGTGGGAAGAAAAGCAATATAGGGATGACAGTTGAAATGAAGATGCGCAAAGTAATCGAGTGGAGAAGCTGGTATGTAAAGAAATTCCTTCAATCATGTACTGAGAAATTGAGTACATAATTCCTGTGCTAATGTGCTGTTTTGTAATGCCTAGTTTCGGAGGAGTCCATCACATCCCTAGATTCAGAAGCCTCATCCACGCCAGAGGTGGCCAACAAGCAAACAAGGGGAATCCCATCTCTCGAACAAAGAAGAGGACAAAGACAGGTCATGGAAATCGAACACTCCCTTCATTCCACCCTAACAGTGAAAACAAAAAGAGGGTGGAAGAAGGGAAGTGCCCGACATAACTTTTCAAGGAAAATAGAGTGAAGAGTGTATATTGTGGAGCATTCAGCAGTTTCTGCAGTGGAATTGGTTCCAGGCGATTGACCTCTCGTCGGCCAGTTTGAGCCTACTTGCCGTGGAGAGCAACTTCGCGATTGTCTCAACTTATAAGACGACGACACAGGAAGACATTTCCGGGACAAGTTGTGGTCCAGTAACGGGAAATCCTTCATTGAGGCTGGCAAGAGACAACTTTGTTTTTCCACACTAAGGTCAGCTTCAACAAGTTGTACTCCCAACCCTCATGCTGGCCTGAAAAACGAACATATCATCAGTATAATTCAATGGAGAGGATCTCTTAGAAGAGCCTTTTATGGAAGACTTACCTGAAAATGCCCTGACGAAATGAAAGTGGCCTTCTATATATTAAAATTCTGCACTTTCCTAACATCCCCACTCCATTGCTGCAAATCCCACCGTTTTGGACATATTTCTGTGTGCTCCAGGTCGCAATAAGAGATCTGCGAGTGTTGGGTGGAAAGCTCATTTGAAAGAGTCAGTTTGCAGTGACTCTCCCAAATTATATCACTGAAAACACACTGCCTCATGTAGTTTTAGTCCTCTGATCATGGAGGAAAAAACATACAATGGCCAAAAATAGTAGATAGGCTCTTAAACCTGGCGGACAGGACGAATGTTGGCAGTAGGGCAGGGAGCTATATGGTAAGGCTGTGTCGCGTCCCACTCTGCTGCAAAAAGCAACAGAGAACAAATCTAAAGCCGCTTCGCCGACATGAAAGCTTCATTCACGCCAGAAGTGGCTAACAGGCAAACAAAGAAAATCCCATCTCTCGAACCAAGAGGAGAACAAAGACAGGTCATGGAAACCGAACTCTCCCTTCATTCCACCCAAACAGTGAACACAAAGGCTGGCAAGACACAACTTTGTTTTTCCACACTAAGGTCGGCTTGAACAAGTTGTACTCCCAACCGCTCATGCTGGCCTGAAAAACGAACATATCACAAGTTTAAATCAATGGAGAGGTTCTCTTAGCCTTTTCTGGAGGACTTACTTGAAAATGCTCTGACGAAATTAGGGCGGCCTTCCATAGATTAAAGGTTCTTGGGAAATTGAGTGAAAAACGATTAATATGGTCCATTCTGCAGTGGAACTGGTTCCAGGCATTTGACCTCACCTTTGTCAGCTTGAGACTACTTACCTTGGTGAGCTCTCGATTGACTCAATGTCTACTACAGCACCAGAAGACACTTCCAGAATTGTTCCAGAATTGAACTTGGCGCATAATCCGAGACACCAGACTAAGGGAGACAACTTTGACAGAAAACCCCAATCCAAAGTGTCATGCGATCCATGTTGATGGATGCTTGGCTCGAGGGAAGTCGAGTCTCGAACGGAGAATCAGTGACGCCTGGCACCACCCCTGAATAAATAAGTCACCTTACGGCGGGTTGTGAGTAAGCCTGTCACGGACTCATAACTAACCCTCGTCTCGTGGGAACAACATATGTCTACAACAAAATTAAATACTAAAAATAAAAAAACTGAACCATTACAATGATAAAGAAACAGAGATCATTAATGATATAGTAACTGCTCAGAAGTCAAGATTTCAACTGCAACAAGCACCAAGCACTGTGAAAGCGAAATATGTACCTTCCAATTTAATCGGCCACCTTATGAACATCAAAACAAATTTATAAAGGCAAATTCCATGAAGGAGACAAAAAATAGACCACATACAGGCCATGAAGAAAGTGTCTGAAATCCATTCAGCCACACCACAATTTTTACTAGATCCTAGCAAAAAAAAAAAAAGTAAATAAAGAGACTACAAGCTACTTGGTAAAACAATTAGACAGGCTAGTTGAGTTAGTAGGCCAAATGGCATTTGGAAACGCATCTCGCCTCATCCGTTCTAGCTGCTAATGTCCCAAAAGAAATGAAAGTTGTCAACGCAGTAGTACATGCTCTGACCCCCATCACTGAGCAAAATCACAGAGGACTTGAAATCTGCAGCATCTGGAAAACACCTAGGGGCCAAAGACTCCCCCCCCCATGGACCCATGGTGATTTGGAAACCGCAATCAGTCGGTTAAGAAAAGCCCCTGGCGACGAGACAGAGTCGAAGCGCACATCATTGTAAGCTTTACAGAAATCACTTGTAATTACTTCCTGCAGTTATACAATGACGGCTTAAAGCTAGGTTATTTCCCCATAGCATGGAAGTCGGCGACAATCTGTGCCTTCTTAATGGCAGGACGTCCAACCAGCTCATACAGGCTCATCTCGCTACTACCAGTGTTAGGGAAAATATTAGAAACACTAATATTAAATCCAGTCAGAAATGACAAAAATGACACAGACCAGTATGGTGGAACCACCAAGAAATCTACAACCCATACCATCTATGGTCTTCAAAAAGCAGTGTGACAATCAGAATGTGGTGGCCAGCACTAATCAGATTGCTTGTCAAAGGACCTGGCGCACTGCTTAGATTGATAAGAAACTATTTAGATAACAGAAAAGCACATCTAGACAGCTACAAAAAACATGTGTAAGAAAAATTTCGATGGGTATTCCTCAGGGATCTGTATTAGGACCATATTTATGGTCTGTCATATTTGGCGAATTGCTATACGCCCTTGAGGATAAATATTTCAAGGTTAAAGCTTATGTTGATGGCCTGATTGTGATCATTGCACCCAAAACCGAGTCAATGCTCTAGACTCGTGGGAACTTAGCAGTTCAGTTTGTACAGAAGTGGTGCAGCACAGTTAAATTGCAATTAGCATCTGAAAAAACTGAACAAATCCTATTAAAAGGAATGCTGAGCTCAAGGAGCCCTCCAGTAATATGCATTGATGGCTGCACGATAAAATCTCCTGAGCAAGTTGTATACCTAGGAGTGCAGCTGGAACGGGGAATGAAACACTATATGCAAGCAAATGATGCACCATTGAAAGTAGCCCCAAAGATTGCAAAGATAAAATCAGTATGTGGCCCGACTTGGGTAAATCTTAACTTAATCTTGAAATCTTAACATGACACTGCAAGCGAAATGGACATATGAAGAAGTTTTGAATACACACTGCTTGTCCCATTCCAACTGTCTGCCACATCGGTAAGACAATGTCGTATCCGTACCTTAGTTTCTTCCATCTTGCCCAACTGCTTCTGACCTCCAGAGGAATCAATTTACTTATACTGGCTGGCAAGGCACTTCTGAACAGCAGCATGTCCACTGCGTTTGCTCCTCTAAAAAGTAAGCTAATCGTTAATCTAAAATGAACCACATAAGATTACATAAGGACTTAAGGACTCGTGGTTCATTTAACCTCAGAACATTTGTGAGTGTTTTAGTTGTCTATTTACTCAAAATAGCCTCAGAGTTCACATTGGCTACGCTTTTGTCACATTACCTTCAGAGCTACTTCCCTCAAATTGGCTACTCTTTTGTCACACTTTGGCATTTGCAATAATAACTAATTGGGAGAATGATAATTCAATTAACTACTTAATCCTGGAATACAAGAACAAACAACTCAGCAAAAGTTTCGAACGCACACCGCCTATCCCATTTGAACTGTGTGCCACTTCGGTAAGACAAGGTCTCATCCGTTGCATAGTTTTTTCCATCTTGCCAAACTGCTTCTGACCTCTCAAGGAGTCAATTTATTTAAACTCACCGACCCAGCCAAGAGCATCCCTGTGCCACTGTTACACTATAAAAAAAGTAACCATATCATTATCCTAATATGTACCACAAATATTACTTGTGGTTCATTCAGTGTCAAAGCCTCAATTCTGATATTGTCTACATTTTGTCACTTTTCAACAATTACAATAGAATAATCACTCAAATAACTACTTAATAATGGAATACAAGAAACAAAGAAGTCAGCGAAAGGATATACTTATTTATGATAACCCATCATTACAGCTGTTGTATACACCTAGAAGAACTGTTAAAAAAGCAAATTTTGCAATGAAATTGCCGTCATCAGTAGGAACATACCAGATTGTATTGCTATCAGGCACCTCGATGTGTCAAAAGTATTATTGGAGCGAAAATTGTACCAAATCGAAAGAGACTCCATCTGTGTGCTACCTTTGTAATGGTAATCATCCAGCCAACTACTGAAGATGCATCACTCACAAACAATTACGACTAAGAAGACAGGATTCTCTAAAACAAGGCAGCAACCTAGAACTACGCCTCCACACCACAGCAAGTAAGCTCTGATGCCCAAACCCTCCAAAGACCTTCATCTTATTCACAACCAAACCAAATTCCTTCATTGGGTCCTACTCCTCCAACTTCTTCAGACCTCACATTAATGACATCCATTCCCTTTTCAGCTCTCAAATCTCTATACTTACAACCATTATTGAGAAGCTTGTCTCACCTGTTTCGCAAGTACACCCTTAATGGCATAAGGGCATAAAGCATAATCATTCAATTAACTACTTAATAATGGAATACAAGAAGTGAAGTAGCGATACCCCTCTAACTCTCCTTCTGTGTAACGCAAATGGTTTGACCTCCTGCTTCAACAAAATGGAAATACTGCTAAAAGAAAAAATAATATACATAGTACTGGTTATAGAGACACACTAAATCACAATCTAATTTTTACATTAAAATTACAGGACTTACCATCCCATGGGTATTTCCTATGGAGATACCACTAACTTTATTCTCAATACCTTAACCCATCATCTAATTCCTACCCAATGTGCTGTATCTTTACAGTACTCTACCATTAAGTTGTCCTCCTCACCCATCAACTTTACGAAAGCAGCTGTTTATAACCCACCATATCATAATGTTTCCTACCAACAATTTTATCCTTTTTTCCAGTGCATTGGCCTGCATTTCCTGTGATTACAATACAAAGCATCCACAGTGAGGCTGCAGAGTTGCTATCCCACGAGGTCAAGTCCCACATAGTGCCTTCTTCACCCAACGCTTCAACTACATATCTCCACCTGATCCTACACATGGGCCCGCCCACTGATACGAACGAACGCTTCCACTACTAATCTTCCAGACTTCACTATTTATCCCAACTGTCACTTCACCACCATGTTTGTACATTGAATGATTTCTTATCGGATCAGCCCTGTTCTATTAATTATCCCATTCGAACTGCTTTTAGAGTCATATGTGTTCAACGATAAATGATAAAGATGGTGATCGGGGATGAAGCCATAAAGGTAAAAACCAACTTGTTTTCTAATGTCCAGCTTTCAGATGTATTGATGACTTACTCAGCACTCCATTTAATTAAGAGCAATTATTTATTAGAGGTTACATAAAATTATAATGATTATTAATTTATTCAACTAACTTATTTGTAATAAAAAATTGCTCTTAATTAAATAGAGTTCTGAGGAAAGCGTCAAATTCAGCCGAAAGTTCGACATTAAAAAACAAGTATCATTGAACACCGATACTCAACAATATACCATTTTATATTCGCTACATCATATGATCAAAAATACAAGCTTGCAAGGCAAAGAACTCGCTATCCTCCAGAACAACAAATCTGAATAAACTAACACTAATTGACAACGAATTATAAGCTTACCACTTGAATCGATTCAGACTGTTTACTGAATCAATAACAACAGATATTAAATTGCTTTGGACAACAGCTAAAAACCTCTTATCTTACTACAAAATATCTGATCCACTTCCACCAAGGCAATGGCAGTTGGGCCAAGTCAGACGAGGAGAAAGCAAATGCTTTTGCCCCTTACCTGACCACATTGTTCACTCCACAGACCATACTTACTCCAAAGTTATATTTGCATTACCCAATTCCTTATCCCTCCCTCATAAAGGGTTTTCAACTTCTGATGTTCATTCTACCATACGCCTAAAATCAAAGAGAGATTCAGGTTTTCATCTT